TGAGAAGATGTTAAACTAGGACGCTCGTCGGGGTGGAATCCGATATGGGCCGAGCGTTCTAGGTATTGCATCTATGCATTTGTGAACAAGACATCGGTTGATTAGGTTAGTAAACGACCAGATCTACACGGTAATACATGTGATCTGCATGGGAAACATACCTTCGCAATTTCCAGTCTTCGCCAAGTCGACGAATATGCCAGCGCTGAAGTCATCATGAGCGTTGATCTCCAACCAGGAGAGTTCCGAGGTTATTGCAGACAGCAAGAACCAGATCTATGGCTTAAACCCACAGATCATGAGGTTACCCCGGAGATCCAGAGGCCTAGCAAGATCTCGGAGTACCGACGGTCAACGACCGGGAGAGTCTCGTGGTTACTTGAAACATCATTCGCCAGGGAAATGGTTTCGCCAAGCCAAGATCACAGGCAAGCTCCACAATGAGAAAATGATCTTACTCTTAGATAGCTCATGTGTCCATCGTCGACACCACCTTTGCTCGTAAGGTTTGGTGCTATATCGACTCGAGTCAGATCCAGGATTGTGTGCGAATTGATGACAATGTGAAGGAAGAACCCGGATCAAGGTGACTCTCGCTAGATCACTGGTATATTTCTTCGATATTTGGGTGGCGATCTGACTGGCCAACAAGCTATACTTGGTATGGACTTCATGGTTCCAGCCGGGATCCGCCTGGATCTAGCTCATGGATCGATCAATTTGCCGGATGAAGTCCGGATCCAGCTTAGTGGGAGGCGGCAGCTTTATAGCGATAAGGCGAAGATCGTAAACGTCGACTAATACCTTCGGATCCAAGTAGGAGAGTCGGTGGAACTGCCGTTGCGCCTGACACCGTCGATCCACAACAAGCTGTGGGTCACACGTGGGGATCGATGGGTGCCGACAATATCCGATGGACCAGGCAGGACGAAATGTATATCGATCACGGGGACGAGGTGTTGATCCTGCATCAAGACCAACGGATCGGGATTTGGCTGGCCGGAGACCATGTGCCACGGATACCGGGTTTCATCTCGATCGGTTCTCGGCGTTACATGGAGTGGCAGAATCTAGCTTTGGAAGCTACGACAGACACTCGATCCGAAGGAATGGAGGTCGAGGTCCCGCTGGTGCCCGCGGTGAAGCAGCCTGAGTACGAAACCCCAGGCGCAATACTCCAAAGACCGAAGGCGACGTTGATCAAGAGTCGGAAGGTCGAGGCGGGTCAGGATCAAGATATTCCTGACTGCCTATCCACGGACAAGTCGCCGTCGGACAAATTGCCGTCGGAGATTCGACCGTTGGATCTAGTGTCTGTCGCAAGCGAGGCGTCGGATCTGTCGTCTATCGCAGGCGAAGACCCTATATCGCATGCTGTAACGGCCAAGGAGGCGCTAGATGTTCTCGATCAAGTGACGTCAGACGTGTGTGCGACTAATCCGTCGTTGGGGGAAACTACAGACGTAGTGGAAACGCGAGAAGAGGAAGGTACGAGACGAAATTGGGGTTGCCAGTCAGGATCAACTACATTCGAGAGGTCAGGATCAAGGAATATCGCCGTCGAAATGTGGCGGATCGGATCCACCATCAATGATGAGTGTACAATCTGGGACGGGGCCTGTGACCAGTGATCCGTTGAACGACAAGTACGCCGCATCTATGCCGCAAAAAACGGACATGGATCCTTCACCTGTTGTTGCAGATCAATAAGGCGCGTCGGATCTGGACCTCACCTGGGACTCAGATCCAGAATATGATGAATGTGTATACTACCATGAAGGAAGTGATCTGTACGCGGAAGATGTCGACGGTCAGATGGCGGCACGGCCAGAAGTGCCTGTGACGACGGAAGATGTGAAGATCGAGGACCATCAGCTATGTGGATCTGATAACCAGACCCCAGAAATAATTGATCGACTTCGCCAAAGGATCTGGAAGTTCCGACATCTCTTGATCGGTAAAGGAAATGCCTTTCCACCGGCGGCTAGAGGAGTGATGTGCGACATCGATGTCGGAGGAGCGAGGCCTATCGCCCTGAAGTGTCGTAAGTTGCAGATCCAGTTTAGGGAGATACTGGCAGACTTGATCAAGGGTCTATTGTCCGCCAAGATGATCAACTACTCTAGATCACCGTGGGCTTCCCCGACCGTGGTGATTATCAAGAAGAATGGAGTTGATATCCGGTTGTGCATCGATTACCGGTTGGTTAACTGTCTAACTCAGCTGATGATCTACCTAATGCCCTTGATCAACGACCTACTTGAAGATCTGGAGTCAACACTCTGGTACTGTTCTTTGGATATGGCAAGTGGATTTTGGGTAGGGAAAATGACGGATCGCGCTCGTTTGATCTCGGCTTTTATCACTCCTTTTGGATTATTTGAGTGGAATCGAATGACTTTCGGTTTGACGAATGCGCATTAGATCTACCAACGTATGATCGACAACGCGCTATATGGGTTCACCCGGATCCCGAAATCTGAAGATCACGGAAGTACTTTGGATTGTTTGAGGGCGGGGAACCGGTGGATCCAGGCAATCCATCGGTGCTTGGGCGTAGATCATATATCGACGACATCCTGATCCCAGCCAATAACTGGGATCAACTATGTGCCAGAGTTGAGGGTTTACTTGAAGCGTGTGATAAGTGGAATCTGTCGATCAGTGTGGTTAAGCGTTTCTGGGGAATGCCTAAGGTGGAATATCTGAGACATAAGGTCTCCCACCATGGACTGGAGGTGAACCCGAAGGTTCTGTCGGCGTTGACAGATCTAGCATTCCCTGGAATACTCCGAGCCATGCAGTCATTTTCGGGAAGTCTGAACTATTACAGCCGGCTCATTGAAGACTATGCGATTTATGCGTCAGTTCTGTATGAATTGCGAGAAATCGACTTTGCTGCGATGATAAAGGAGGCTACCCAAGCGCAGATCCAACAAGTGTTGGAAGCGGAGAACGTGGATCAAGGATCGCAGGAAGATCAGGTGGCCGACCACCGAAAGACTTTGGATCTGGAGGCGCCAGATCCTACTAAGGTGGATCCGAGTTGGGCCCATCCCCATCCGTCCTTCAGTGTGCTTAAGGCCAAGATCGCTATAACTCCGGTCTTACGGCACTTTGATCCAGATCGGAGAGCCATGGTCGTCGTGTATGCTAGCGATTGGGCCATTTCGGGACCATTGATGCAGGGATACGATCAGATCTACTACCCCGTGATGTTTGCGAGCCGTACCCTGATGTCGGATGAGCTGAATTATGGCATCGCGGAGAAGAAGGTATTAGCTCTTCTGAGGATTTTGGATCTTAACTACAATGCACTAGTCGGACGTCCGATCCACGTGTTGATCCGACACTCTACTTTGGCGTGGCTCTTCAGATCCACAGCCCTACAAGGACGTCTAGGACAGTGGGTTGCTCTGTTGTCGCCCTAGACTCTTGAGATCACCAAGTGTGTCAAAGGAGAGGACGAGATCTTAGGAACATTGGCGGCCAGTATTACCCCTAGATCCAAAGTGGATAAGGCATTGATCTCTACTGGCCCAAAAAAGGAGCCAAGACACAAGATCCAGGCTCCGATCCCCACCACTGGACGCGATGAGGATCTATACGTCGTTAGTTTCGATGGATCTGCTCGTGCCAAGAGAGGTGGAAGCGCCTACAGCGCGATATTGTGGAAGCTACCAGAGTGGAGAGTGTTGTAGGCTAGATCCGGGCATGCCGAAGGCTTGACAGTGAACGAGGCGGAATAGCATGGGTTATTGCTATGCTTGAATCTGTTGGAAGATCTGGATCCACGACGTCTGCTTATCTGCGGAGACTCGAACCTGGTGATCCGACAAGTACGGGGTGAGATCGATTGTAAGGCACCGGATTTGATGCTGTTGCGGCAGCGGGCTTTGGACCGATTACGTACTTGGCCGGATCACGAACTGTTACATGTTAAGCGAGACTGGAATGGGAGTGCTGACAGATTAGCAAGCGCCGCTACGCAACGACAATGTGCGATCGAGGTAGAGTCTGAATAGGAGATCCAGGATCTAGTAACTTTGAATCGGTTGGATGAGATCCTGATCGTGAAGATCGAAGACGAGATCGAACAGATATCTGCCGTAACGACCTGATCTAAGCCTAGATCCGGAGCGCGTATTGGATCTGATCCAGACTCCCTACGGGAGGAGGGTGTGAGAGAGCTGAGGATCGAGCGGATCCGGCAAGCACAGGATGAGGAGTCGTGGATCATGGGTCTGAGGAAGTGTTTGGTTGGAGAGATCCGGGATCTGACACAAGAGGATGCTAAAGTGTTTGGATCTATTGCCATGAATTACAAAGTGGATCAGTCGGATGTACTCTTCTACTGCCCGACAACTAAGGAGGCAGCGGCGGATCGAGACAAGTTGATGCGATTGGTGATACCGGGGATGCTTCAACAGGACATTTTACATCACTATCACACGAGCCTACAGGGTGGTCATCGAGGGATCGGTCGCACCTATGATCGGATCTGTGATCATATCCACTGGAGAGGGCTGTACAAGAGTGTGCAACGATATGTGGGAGGATGTGTTGACTGTGAATCGGGTAGGGAGCGACTTCGGATCCAGGGTGAGTCACCTGGTAACCTTCAGGCGACATACCCATTCCAGATCATTGCCATGGATCACATACCTTCGCTACCTAGATCCTTCAATGCCAACACCGAATTGTTGATCTTCGTGGATCTATATTCGGGGTATGTGATCACCAAAGCCAGCGCCTCTAGATCCGCTCAAACAATCGCGGAGACCTATGAGGAATGTGTCTTCCGCAGATTTGGTGCGAGCAAGGTGATCCGGCATGATCGGGAGCCAGGCTTTATGTCTGACTTCTTTAAGTCCTTCAACAAGATCTTGGGTCAACGTCAACGTGCTACTATGGCTTATCGACTCGATCCGCAGAGCGTATGGTCCAGACAGCTACCAGGGTCCTTAAGATGTATGTGCAAGATCTGGACCAACGCGATTGGGATGAATATGCCGAACAGCTCACCTTCGCGATCAATACCGCAAGAGATCGGATCCGAGGTGAACCCCCTTTCTACACGATACACGGTTGGGATCCTAGATCCACTTTAGAATCGGTCATCCCGGTGGGGAGCACTCGCAGGCATGATCGAGATCCCAGAAGATGGCGATAAGGGTTGCAAAAATACTACCAACAAGCTCGAGAACAAGTGAACCAACGTTACGCGAATCGCGGATCGGGCCGACACACATAATAATCTAGTATGTCCTCATCCTGTAGAGTCTGGATCAAGAGTCTGGTTGTACCTGGATTGAATGCGTGAGGGATATGCAAGGAAGCTGGCGCACTTGTGGCATGGGCCATTTCGCGTCGCTGAAAAGATCGGGGAATACGCAGTGAGGTTGGAGGTTGCAGGATCAACATACAGCATTTCCCCGGTAGTCCATGTTTCGAAGATCATACTGGTCAAGATATTCCCAGATCGACCAGTAGCTCGCACAGATGAGTCATAAGGAGATCGGGTGGACTTTGACGAAACTCTGCTACCTGAAGACAGCTGGATCCAGGATCGGGATCCAGATGAATACGAAGTGGAGCAAATTTCCGATATGAGAGCTGGCAAGAGGACTAGATATGAAACGGATCTACCGGGAATTTTTGGTACATTGGCGTGGATATGAAGATCCAACTTGGGTAGATGAGGCAGATCTTAACTGCGGTGCTCTTCTCTATGAGTTCTTCCGAGATCGCACATTATCGAAATTTTTTGTGTGATGCACCGTGAGATCTGGATCCACACTGGTGAGTTGGCCATAGGTGTGGTTGAAGGTTGATGGAATTGCAAGGAGGTTGCAGATCAGAGGTCAGGGTTTACGTAACTTTGTATATGATGATATGCCGATTCAGGATCTATGAGGAAAGGGATTGATTCAGCAACTGATATGGAGTGAGCAGAAACGAAATTTGACAGTGGATCTAGGACTATATTACCGAGAAAATTATGGATCAAATGACGAACGACAAGTGTGAAGTTACTGGAGTGAAGATCTGTGGAAATTAACGCGGTTGGAAACTTGGCGGAACCAAAGGATACTGACGAACCCAGATCAGAGAAGAAAATGACATGTATTTCGGTTAACGAAGTTGATCTGAAAGAAATGCATGGAGAGGCGTCAGGATCACGGCTGTGGACGAAGAGGCGGTGGGTTGGGGTTCAAGGCTGCAATATTGAAGAATTTGCCTGCGAGATGCGTGATCTGGCGAGCTGAATGACCTGCATGGTGCAGTCGGTAGTTGGTACGCCACGGACCTGCAGCGTCACGCTCAGCGAGAGCCTCAATCAGATCCGCAGGCGCGCGACGGTGCAATTGTGGATCCGCGAGGTTGGCACTGCGAGCTTCGATGCCAGGATACCAGACCACTTCATCCGTTCGCTTGGGGAAGTGGAGGAAGTATGGATCCAGCAACAGATCCAGACAACACCAGCCCTCGCGCATGGCGATCAATAATAGTTGCAAAATCTGCTTCCACCTAGCGCCAGCGTGAGACCGACGGTTCTTCATCTTCACGACAAAGAGCGCCAGATATGGATCGCTGCTGATCAATGCCGGCGAAACTAGAAAGCGGTGCGTCGACTCCCAGTAAGCGATCAGATCTTGGAACTCTACCGCCGAATATCTCCCGATCAGGAATCCCAAGCGACCGTCGACTGTGATTCCGAACAAACATGGGCTCGGGGATGTTGGCGCCAGTGAGAACGTTCCAGGGAAGGGCAACCATGAGGTCGCGGACGTTCTGACCTGTGATCAAGTGGTTGGAATACGGATCCGATCTTGGCGTAGCCACCCGAGGAACGTGACTGGGTAAGATCCACTCAGGACGAAATGGGAACGCACGAGAGAACACTTCCAGGGTCATAGTCATGATTGTCAAAGTATTGATCCTCTGGATCACCCATGGATCCACGTCAGCAATATTGTACTGACGGGTCTGCTGGCGGGCAGGAATACACAAATTATCGGCGGCAAAGTGACGTCGCGGAAGCATAGTGGAAACAAGAGGCATCCCAGCCGGATCCACGGGAGATCCGCCGCCACCTCCTCCGCCCCTGTCATTGCTGGAGCCATCACCGTCCGAAACATCGCCCGATCCAGGATCTCCAGCTCCCCTAGTACCCGTGCGATGGGGAGCAGCATGATCACGGCACCTCTGCTCAGATCTGGATCGATAGAGAGCCATGAGGTCTGGGTTTGCAGCATGTCATCCAGAGTATCATCATTGTCGCCATCGGCCGAAGTGTCGGCATCTGACCCTTGATCTTCCACCTCCAGATCCGTGTTCTTGGAGAGCTTAGGATCACCAGTAGATCGAGGTTTGGACTTGGACTTAGGTTTGGAGGTGGAATCCGAGCTTGCGGGACACCAGATTTCTCGGATCCATCCTTTTCGTAAGACAAGTAACGTAGCTCAGGGATCGGAGCAGGACTTGCGGCTCCACGATTCTTTTCCAAACGCTCGTCAAGTAGAGCGTGACCTGGATTCGGCGTCTCCTCGACGTCTGAGCCCCCCCATGTCGTAGCTGTCTGGATCCTCCACCGATCCAGATCTTTCTTGTGGTCTTCTGTCATTGGAGGCTTTCGTTTCGAAGGACGATCTGCATATCGGGAAGGAGAGGAGGCACGAGACCGCTTGCCCGGTAGAAGATCCTAATGCTTGTCGTTGGAAGAGGATCCATAAGATCCGTTGGGCGTAGGCATGTAGTCGGGATCGCGGTCGGGCTGATCTTGATCAGACTTGTCTTGCTCCGAATTTCCCTGGTCCGGCTGGTCTTGATCCAAGCCCTCTTGATCTTGCTTCCCTTGATCTGACTTCTCAGGATCATCAGGAGAACTCTCAGACGGATCTTCAGCTGCATCGGTGTCGAGACAGAGTTTGGTGGTAGGAGGGCTTGATCCCATCTCGGCAGCAACAGTAGACAACATCTCTAATGCTGTCCGCAGTTCATGTCACAGATCCGTGCGCTCCTGATTAAGACTGGCCAGTCAGCGGTTCAGCGCCAAGATCTTGGCCTTCTGCTCCGTGATCGAGCGTTCCTCGTTGGCCTATGCTGTCGGAGCCACAGTGACATCGTGTTCTGCAAGAATGGAAAAGAGTTAGTGAGATGGTATGATCCAGATCTAGGACAATGCAACGTACTCAGATCTTCGCCCGCGTCGCGATATCCTTTCTCAGGCTTTGCCGCACCGGCGAGATTGACGCGCAGGACCTCTCAGCGCGACTTTTCCCGGTTGAATTCTTTGGTCTTCTGCTGGATCTGATCTCGAAGTGCGTCAGTCTCACGATCCTGAGTCTGGGCTTGTGCGTTCAATGTATCACGCTCTCTGGAGACTTGATCGAAGCGATCTTGGAGTGCGACGCGCTCTGCTGTCTGTTGATCCAGCTTGGCTTGTAGATCCAATGACGACGGATCTGGCGAAACCGTGACTTGTTTGGCGACCAGCAGATCTGCTTTGGTCCGATCCAGTGCTAGCCACGTATGGCGAAGCACCCCCTCGGAAACTTTTAATTGATCAGTGGCTTGATCGCGGGCGCGATCCGCCGTGTCACGCTGTTCCTGTAGATCCAGGATCTTCGCACCGGCGTGTTCTCGTTCTTGTAGCAGTTGAGTGACTTGTGACTCCAGATCTACAATCTGCCCTTCGAGGTTGCGGACGTCGGTGACAGACGGTTGTGGATCACTGGGGGCCTGAATCCTGGAGTCGAGCGCGACTTGTAGCTCGTCCCGATCCGCCCGAAGACCGTTGATCGACTGCTGCATGTGCGAGATCACCCGATCCTGCTCCTGGATACAGTCACCAAGGTCGTCCAGCCGATCTTAATGCTCCACTGATGGCGGATCCGACCCGCGAGGTAAGGTCTGGATCACCACAGCGGCCGTGAGATCACCCACACGACGGAAGAGGCGCGTCGCGTAGCGATGGAGTTCCTCACGCGTGCTGTGGGGATCGAAGGTGGATCCCGGCGATCCACCACTAGAAGATTCGCAGGGTTTGGAGCGCTAGACATCGTGACGTAGGAGATCTGCGACGAGTGAAGAATGAGAAGAAGTGTCTGCAGTGATCCTGTTGGGCAGCAACGACTAGAGATAGGAGGCGATTGTAGTAAAGTGAATTCCGGGAAATTACAAACAAAGTGATCAGATCAAGTGGAGTGACAGGTATGCGCCGATCTGTAGTGACTATTGTGGATCGAGATCTGAAACGGTCTGATGGACTCAGATCAACTGATTCTGAGATGATTGGATCAAATCTGGGAGGACCTAATTATAGGTCCCTGATCTGGGTATTATTATAACGGATCCAGACATGATACCCAAGGCGAATCAGGATCAAGTAAACAAGGTA